ATATATGTCATTTCCTTACATGCTCAGCTCCGGGTGAGTATACTACTCCACGGAGCCTGTCGGGTAGCAGCTATTCATTCTTGTATAAGTGAATGTGAATACCAGGATTCAATCGCAGGCTGCTCATGTGGGTGTGACGCCCGCTAGCCCGCTGTCACCGGTATCTCACCTGGAGAGTACAGCTCCGCCAGCTCCCGGGCACCTGCATGCTGCGGGCCCCACCGACATTCTCCCCTGCCCGGTCCCCGCGGCTCAGGGTCTTCTTGGATCCCATTACTCTGTAACCCGTCTCCGCTCCCTGCTCTCGCCATGTTCCCCAGCAAATCCAACCCCCGCCCGGCGAGCGAGCCAACTGGGGCCCCGGCATCACGGCCTGGCCACGCCCCGTACCCTGGCATCAGCCAATCATTTCTCACCTCCCTATTCCGCTCGACCAATCGTCGAGGTCCGGACGGGTGACGGAGCGCCCTCGGTCCACCAATGGAAATGGCCCAGCAGAGGTTGTATTTCCTGGCCACACCCAGCCCCAGCCAATCAGAGAAACGGAACATGACACACTTCGGGGGTGGGCTGGCCGGGAGAGGCGTGTGTCTGGCTCGCTGCCTGCGTACGGCCGTCTGTGGACATTGGACACATTCCAGTTGCATGGAAAAAAAAAGTGGTGCGAATTAAAATATAACAGCATGACATCAGATCCTACTTTGCTCATACAGACGGAAGCCCAGAGTGCATTTTGCACACTACACAAACAACCACGGGTTCTCGTTGCAGTCTGGTGTTCATAATCAAAGTGTCATATAAAAACTATCGGCAATATTTCTAAATGACATCTGCTTTTAGGGTTCAGCGGCCAGTTACATTAAGGAAAGTACATTTAGATTTTGCCTTCCTGTTTCCGTTAAGCGTTCCTTAAGTTTAAGGGTGTTAACAAGATGGCATAACACCTGAAAGTCAGTTTTAAGCACAGCTGCACGAGCAAAGGCATTAATACCTTAGGTGTTTCACATCTTCATTTGAGTACGATCTCGGCTGCTCGGAGGTGTGTTACAGTGGTCCCGAAACTGAAAGGGTCGTGACCCACGTGTTTTTTAGACAATCCATATGTTTCTGTTTCCTGTTTCATTTTTAACATGCGTTTTCATTCATGTACCTTTAAATTAATAATCCCTCTGGTTATCCGTTTCGGATAAAATCGCCAAATAAACGCAGTGTGCCATTCATTTTTTGAATCACTTATTACAGTTTAGGAGACATCGCTCCTAAAAATGTGAGAACATCTGTCAGTGAACGAAACTCAACAATGAGTAACCTAAAATTATTATTTTATTATTTTGGTACTGTGCTAGTCCAATGCCAATACTGTGCGCAGAAGAATTCTCTTGTTAGCTAGGAAAAAGCAAAAATAACAGAACCGTTTGAATTAAAAATCACAAATCGGAACTGTTTGTATTAATTTTCTTATTTCGCCGTCCATCCATTTATTTTCTAACCGTTTCTTCCAATTCTGGGTCGCGGGTGAGCTGGAGCCTATCCCGGCAAGCACCAGGTGCAAGGCGGGGTACATTCTGGACGGGACGCCCGTCCATCACAAGGCAGACAGATACTAACACACACACCCACCCCAGGGCGAATTTTTACAGAAGCCACTTAACCTACCAGTAAGTCCAGTAAGCATCCGGAAGAGACTCACGCAAACACGGGGCGCACATACAAACTCCGCGCTGATAACACTTCGGGAATTTAACCCCAAGGCCCCAGCGCTGTGAGGCGGTAGTGCTAACCACCGTACGATCCTTATTTCACTAAGCAATGAAGGTGAATTCGACACGAGTACGGTCGGTCATACAGGTGCTGATAAGGTTAAGCGCTGCGCCGAGCTCCTCTGACGTAAGAGGCGCCGGTGTTGGGTGTGCCGACAAGTTAGTTCAGGTTTCAAGAAGTCTCCCAGTCTGCACTTTACCTCGAACCTGTCAAACCGCTAGCAAGTCATTAGCTGAACTCCAAAGTCACCACATCCAGTCGTGTTGTAAATCCCATCTCCCTGCAAACTCTGACCAGACAGTTTGAAGTCCCGATTACCACCAGTCCCCGAACGAACTCACTGAATAAAAAAGCAAAATAAAAATACAATAAAAGAGGTATTCTAATGAAATGTATAATAATATAACGATTTCCTTCAATCGTGGATTTATATTTGTTTTGGAATCCATTTGTGAATCTCATGTGCTATGGGGACAGCTATATAATAATCATCGTCATCATCATCTTTTGTTTTTTTCCATTTTTATAACAATTCCGTGTCAGGCCACACGGGGGCGATATAATCTTTTTTATCCGTCCTGCGTATCGCTCGAATGCTTCGGGCCATCATACATTTCTTTCCAGTCCTCATTTTTTTTTTAGTTTTGCTTTACGCGTCTGCCCTGTGCTTGAGTTGACTTGAGTGTCCTCTGCAGTTGCAAAGGGCTGCAACTCCCTTGCACCCTGGCTCAATGACACGCCAAGCAAGTTTCACATCCTTTTCAAATACGCACAAATCATTCTGGTTTAGTGATCGCTGTCGGTGCTCAAACATGCACAGGAAGAGAATTCAGTCTTTTTCATAAGAAACTGGGGAGCTGAGTTTGGAAAAAGTAGTCAATAGAAGACATGAAACGGACTGTGGCAGTAGTCATTTTGAATTTTTTAAAATGTCTGAAAGGTTTCTTTTTGTAAAAAAAAAATGCAGATACGAGACCTTTTTTTCCCTTGAGCGCACCAAAAGGCCTCCCCCGTTGTTGTAAAACAAGTTTACAGAACGACCTTTCACTCCCTAACATTGTCGCCTGGCATTGGCGATCGACGCGAGTAATGTGCTTGTAACTAGAGCTAGGAGCTGTGGAGCAATGTCCAAGCTGTGGTTGGGCTTTTGGTTTGTCAGCTTTGAAAGAAAAAAAAATGCAACAAGAACGTTTGGCCATTACAATTGCGTATTTATGTTTTTATTAGTATTTTATGTTTCGCCAGCGTGTGTTGCGCAACAGGACGGCGGATCCCCCGACTTTGACACTACAGAAGACCGACCCCCGCTTTTTGGCAGGGACCGTAGTTTGGGAGGGAGGATTGAGCAGTGAAAGACATCCATGAGAGAAATTCGGCACTTAGGATGGTTATCGCTCGCCGTTAAACAACAATATCTTTGTGTCAATGAGCAATTAAATAAGAATAATCAATGGTTGAGGACATTACTGTAAAACACGCAGTGTTGTTTGATCATTTGAACGCAACGATTTCTTATGTCACAACATGGTGTATTAAAAGCCCCCTAGTCTCCGCACAGAAAAGGGTACAGCTCACAAGTCAATGTTTTTTTCTCCAAATACACAACATTAAGAGAAGCGCCGGTTGCCTTTTTTTATTTCACAGCACTGCGTTGCTCTTTTGCAGGTCCATTACGAGGGCAAAAAAGTTCAGAGAAGCACTAGGGAAAAAAAAAACTAGTTTGATCTTGAAACGAGCTCTCGGACTACAGCGTCGAGCTGATTTGCTGTTCAACCGGTACAGCCCGTCACGCCGCCACCCTGCCCTGAGGTCTGACGCCGCCCTCTTTCCAGGTTCGCTATATATACGCTGTTGCAAGCGCAAGCTGTCGAACTGGACGCCGAGCCGAGCGTGTGGGCGCTGCCAAAGACTGCCTCCCGGGACACACCGATTGAGCAATCGCCTCGGACGTTATTAGTCATTTGTAGGCAGACCGTGCACCCCAGTTCGCCCGCTTTTCCCCCTCTGCCAGCAAAGCAAGTCCGCCAGGGAGCTCCGTCCCTGATCCCGATGGTCCCGCAAACCGGCGGGTGTTAAGATCGATGGCAGTGGCGGGCTTTTACGACGGGGATTACCTTGCGTTCCGAGGTGTTGACAGCAGCAGCAGCAACAACAACCACCACAGCAGCAGCACAGGCTGCAAGCAGTCCATCGGCGGTTCGATGACGGAGCTGGGCATCGCCGAGCACGAGAAAGCCATCGACTTCAGCATCTACCTGGACCCCGCCTTGCCCTTCCAGCAGCAGCAGCAGCAGATCCCGGTCGAAACCCTGGATCAGCACCACGGCGGGGACATCTTCTCCACTTTTCTTGCCGAAGACAGCAAGAACAAGCGTGCCGCCACCTTGCAGAACTACAGAAACTACTTGTCATTGAGCGCTCGGGGTGCCAATCAGGGCGACATCCCGAGACCGTCGAACTTGCTGGGCTTCCCCGAGTTACTGGAGACGCGAGTGGACACCGTGTTTAGCCCGCAGCTGCTGGGCGGCTATATCAAGCAGGAGCTAAAGGAAGATTTAAGAATGGACAGGGGCTCTCCCAGTTACGAGATGAGGTCTTATCTACAGTACCAGTCGGCTCCCAGCGGCAGCATCGGGAACCTCTCCACCGCCTCCTCCTCCTGCTCCAGCCCGCCGGGCACCCCCGCCCCGCCAGGTGCTGGGGGGTCGCCGTCCCACGGGAAGATGTCCTCGGGCAGCAAGGGCAAGAAGAGGCTGGAGAAGGACAGCGAGGAGTACCGGCAGCGGCGGGAGAGGAACAACATCGCGGTGCGGAAGAGCAGGGACAAAGCCAAGCAGCGCAACATGGAGACCCAGCACAAAGTACTGGAGCTGGCGGCGGAGAACGAGCGCTTGCAGAAGCGAGTGGAGCACCTGTCCCGGGAGCTGGCCACCCTGAGGAACTTGTTGTCGGCGACCGGACAGTGCTAGCGCCGTTGCGGGACTCTGTACGCGCGGCCGCCGCTTCAACTGCGGGGGTACTTTTTATATTGCCAGCTGGAAAATACTGGCCCCCCTTTTTCTCTGGGAAGTATTATTTGTAACTCAGATGTTTCTCTTTCCCTTAAAAAGGATCAAATTGTTTACCAATTTACAAGGGAACCGTATTTCTGAAAGCGTGTGGGTGTTGTTTGCTTGGGAACATGGAATATGCGACTGATTGTTGATAAATTACCACTTGTGATACCATGTCTGTTTGTTTTTTTCAAAAATTGTTTACTGTATTTTTATACGAGTTTTAACGTTTAATATACTTCTGTGTTATTTAAGAAATGTTGATGAAAACACGAAGTGTACGCTCTTTTTTTTAGCAACGGTTGTCAAGGGAGTTGGATTGCGCAAATGATGCAATCCGATGTAACAGTATTGGCAATGCAATGAAGTAATCTGTTAAAGATGGAAAGGTATATACAAATTATAATGAAATGTATAAATACTATTTTATTGAATTAAAAATATTTTTACTTTGGTGCAAACTTTGTTTTCGTGTCTCTGTTGCTTATAGCGCAAGTTGCGTGAATGGCTCAGAAGAGGTCTTGTAAGCCGGTGCATTCACATGATATCTGAATGGGGTTCACCTCTATTTTCCTTCACTGAAAAGGCACCTGTGAAGCTGTGGTAACTCGTGGCTCTGAAGATACTGAGCTGTCGAACGCATTCATCCTTTAATACAACCCAGAGCTGGTTAAGAGATTATTGTAGGAGCTACATCGAGCTCAGCACAAGAAAACTGAGTAAAGGCGTTAAGATTTGCGACGATAGTGTGATCTGGGAATTCTTGACAGTGGTGATATCGTCTGCAATTTCGCAGTCTAAACAGTATACAGTCTAAACAGTATACAGTCTAAAGCTGCATGACAACAAGATCCAAAAGGAGCCTATGTCCATTACTGTATCAAAGCAATACACTCGAGCCTAAAGCATTAGATCAATATATTTTCAGTGTTTAATGTAGTTATGTAAGAAAATTGACTATATTTCATAGGGTAAGATGAAAATTACCTTTACTGTGACCTAGGTTACATAAAATATTTGGAAATGGTTTAGTTTCATTCTGTTTTTGTAATTCTCAGACACTCATGTGTTGGTGGTAATATTTTTTTCCCCATGCACAAGTTCTAATTCAGTATTGCAATTTATAGCACATTCCCAAATGAGCACCACAGGAATACTGTAACACCTGAACACTTCCGGCCCCTTTTTCCGAGATCTGATGTGTCAATTTAGGAAGTTTTAGCCTGCATGTCAAAAATCTGTACTCATGTATGAAAAAATCTGCACAAGACAACTACTGTTCAAGATAGACTTGCTCTGTAAAAATCTCTGCTGGGTTTTCACCATCTATCATTGTGCCATTGATCTCATATCTGATGTGGGCTACATTTGGAATTTATTTATTTCAAGCTGTTATTTACAGGTGCGCACAGCTTCAGATATACACTTCGTTCTTTCCAACACACCTAATACTTAAAAGAAAATGTACATTTCTAATTGAGCATTCACATACATATATTTTGCAGATGATGTGATACATTTTTAAAGTGCTTTTTAAATTGGTATTTTCCTGGCATTAAACAGTAGGGGTTTCAGTCATTTTAAAAGAAGGCAATGTATTTTGTCATTTAGGGGTCTGATTTCATTAAGGCAGAAAAAAGAACAGTGATTTTATCAATCACTTGTCAGTAGAGTATGTACCCATATAACAGAAATGCATTGCCTTTAGTTTATAAGTTCTAATACTACATTCACACAAATACATCCATTTATTTTTCTAACTGCTGTATCCAGTAAAGGGTCATGGGGAGCAGGAGTCCCTCAGGTGATGGGTACAGGGCAGAGTACACCCTGAACAGGACACCAGTCCATCACAGGGCACAGGCATGCACACACTCACACAAGGGCCAATTTTTCTAGAAGCTAATGAAGCTACTAGTATGTCTTTGGACTATTTTTGGAGAAAGAAACCAGAGCACCCAGATGAAATCCCACCTGAATATGGGGAGAACATACAAACTCCCCACCAATAGCACCCCAGGAATTGAACCCAGGGCCTCAAGTGCTGTAAGGCAGGAAGGCTGATTCCTTCTCCACTGCGCCACTCTATTCACAAACAGTCACACACATTTCCAAAAAGATGTGGGAAACGGTCTATATATACACTGTATATGGACATCACAGATTACACTCACTGCAAAGTGTCAAAACGAGTTGCATGTATTTTTAAACACACTGCTCTGTGGAGATGACAAAAGCTGATAAGGGTTTTTTTTTTCACTTTTATTTGTCTTGTTTTTGATTTTCTCCGCACTGCCCCAAAGTTCACTTAAATGACCAACGGCACTCACAGAGTGGCCAGACATCGTGATACACCCTTGTAATCAACCCTCCTGCTTGCATGTTCAGAGAAATGCAGCTGTCCCAGCATCTGAGCACATGGCTGCTTAATCATAAGGCACTCCGCATTCGAGGTCACAAGGAAAAAAAAAACAAGGAATACACCCATTTTTTTTGAGAAACAGCATTGATTCTCACTCTGAGTCACTTGTTAAAATCTTATCTGCTGATTGGCGACAATGAGGCCAGGTGCAGTGTGGGATTGAGCGTCTCCACACTTACCCACAGTGTCAACTTTGGATTTCATTCCAAAAACCATTGATGAGGGACAGCAAAAGGCAGGTTTATTACTGAAATGATGACAGAAAAGTTAGGGTTAAAAAAACTAAGGATTTCTCTTCTTAGCTAGGTACAGTAGGTGTTTAGCTGGTATGTTTTTCACATGCACATCTTTCAGTGTTAACACTTGTCTCTCACAGTCCAAATATAATGTACTCCCATAAACATCCTCTTAGGAGAAAAAAAAAACTACACTACCATAATAAAGGCATAGCCTGTCTTCAGATGAATGTCTATTACTGTCCAGAGGTTCTTGTTTCTCATCTTGAGGTATTACACTGTCAGTACCTACTGACACAGCCCTTACACTTTAAAACTGCATACTTACAGAACATGTACTTTTTTGCATTGGAGCAAATGAGTTTTGGAAATCATCGTGACCATAGGCATTTATCAGAGTGGGTGTAATGGTCATCAGAAATGGGATTCCATTAGCAAGCCTTTTGTTTTAACTTCAGTCATACGCACACTGAAATATCCATCCACTTTCTATCTGCCTCATCCAATTCAGGTTTGAGGGAGAGCCGGAGCCTATCCCAGCAAGCAACAAGCAAATTCCAGTATACACCCTGGACAGGACACCAGTACATTGCAGGGCAGACGACACAGATATATTCTCACACCAGGGCCAATTTTCCCACAAGCCAATGAAACAACCTGTATGTCTTTGGACTGTGGGATAAAACTGGAGCACCTGGAGGACATACAAACTCCACACAGACAGCACACCAGGTTCAGAATTGAGCCCAGGGCCTCAGCGCTGTGAGGCAGCAATGTAAACCACTGTTCCACCATGCTGCCCCAAAAAAACTGAAATTTGACTAACATAAAATTGTTTGGGTTGATTACAGCACAATGGAGAATGACCTGCACAGATTTTAAAGTTGCTAGTCCAAATCTTTTCTCAGTTTAGCTTCTGTAGTATGAAAGTATGTCTGAGAGACAGACCGATTAATATTGACCTGATTAATTTAGATTTAAAATGATTTAAAATGATTAATTAATTTAGCTCACACCTGAAGAAGGCTCCACGGCCAAAACGTTGTGTTCTCTTCTTCTTTTTTCCAGCATGGAATAAACCTATTACTTGTTCCTTTGCAGCCTATGCATGCTGACGCAGCTACCCACCTGATTAATTTAGTACAACCAATTTTCCATGTGCCCTTAAATCTTTTAATATTACACCAGAGATCTCTGGATTCTTCTCTTTTGTCTTGCACTGGTTTGAGCCTGTGGATTTCCATGGGAAAAGAAACACAGTTTCAGCTAAAATTGCAGAGGTTACCAGAGTTACAATGTTCTAAGGATACAAACTTACATGTCTGTTTTGTTACACAAAGTTGTATTACAGGCATAAAGCAAAACAGCCCTTACAGAGTTTGTAAACTGTGTGGATTACTTGGCATGCTGTCAAACATTGCAGTGCCTGTTAGGGTGAGGAGTTCACACAGTGTGTTTTGTGCTGAGTCACAGGGAAGTCACATGTGCTGTTCTCCATTCATGCTCCAATTCAGTCAATGCCTGTAGGCCTTAAAGCTACAAAGAGCCTCTTTTTTTAAGATTGTAGAAGCGTACTGCTTTAAATGAATCACACAGGCACTGTTTCTACATTAAGATCCGGGTTATTTCCTAACTTTTGCAATACTGAGCTGCATCCACTAATGTAATGAAAATATTTTCCATTAATAAGGTAATGTTCTGATATTCTTCTGGGGTTATTATTGCACGCAGCTTTTTAACATTTGTCTTTTATGAAAAATAAGAGTACACACAAGTCTTTTTTTTCCTGTGAAATAAGTCTCCTGTAGCCACTGAAGAGTTCAACAGAAAACATGCCAAAGGTGTTCAAAATCACCTTTCAGTCATAAACCTGGTTACAGAGATGTAGCACCTAGGTAGTATGGTTGTGTCTGTACAGCCATGGGGGTTGGGAATAGGAGTGCCCTTTACCCTGTTTTCATGTCACGTTCACCTGAACTGCAAATACCTGCTCTATCTTGACCACACAAACAATCAATATGTTACTTGGTTCATCTCTAACCTCAGCCTGTGGCCCAAGGCCACATTAAAATGTGAAATCTTTAACATATCTCTGCAGCAGCAAGATGTTTCTTTTTGTCAAACGGTCAAATGAAAAAAATCCCACTTTTTCTAAACCTGTAAAAGTGTTCTCATCATAAAATCTATTAAATTGCCCCTCTGGTGCCACCCACCCACTCACTCACACTGAACAAACAGGCCGTGCAGGGTTCAGTTCTTCCGTCTTTCTCTGGTCATAGTTCACCATTGACATAAATTCTGCGTCTGGAGTCTGTCAGTAAAGTCCTAGGCACTCGTCTTTTATCAAAAGTTGTTTTAAAAAGCAAGAAACAAGCAACAAAAAAAAATCAATGTTAGCAAAAATCTAAGTCCACCCAGCAAAATATTCTGATAGAGGGCTATTTTATCACTGGCTTATTCCCAAGAGATTATGAGATTTTCAAGTGGTTTCTGTGCTCTGTGCTATTCCTCATTTTCTTCCAAATAAAAACTGCTTTTAGTTCAATTCTAATTGATATTCAATTCTAAAGAGTGCTTTCAGTTTAAACTTCGAGTGAATCAGAGGTGTGTCAGTCTGTATCCAACAATAAATCTACAAAACCTTTGGTGATTAAACACAACTGTACGTAATGATGCCGGTAACTCCGATGCTCTGTGTTTCAAAATGACCTCAAAGATTTTCAAATAATCTTGCTGCATGTGGCACTGAGATCTTGCAAGAGAGCCTTTCCACAGACCTGGGCTGAGAGGAACTGGAGGGAAT